AAATTTTGTGAAGTCATTTTTGCAATAACCAGGCACAGTGGGTGAACTTCACCTCTACTCCCTCCATTACCCCTTACTCCCTTTTCTCCCATTCAATCCACCTGATTAATTGCTAAAAATTATATACATAAGGAAGGACTGTTGGATTACATTCTCTTTTTTCTTCTGGCTTTGTTATAGAAAATGTGTCACTCACTTGTGGTTAAAACTTACAATTTTATTAGATAGTATTACATAGGAAATTTACAATTCAGACTTACTCAATTCCAGCAACTAAAATTTAGAAACTATACCTTGAAGTGATAGCATGCAGAAAATGTAATTCTGTGCTTTTCAAGTCATTCTGTTCAGGCCCACCAATTTAATTTTCCATTTGATAACTGGAGCCACAAAGCTTGTTTTTAGTCTAAAGGGTCACCTGTTGGAAGCATTCAAAAGAACATTCACGCTCACTCGCACTCCCACATGGATAAACAACTGCCTACTCCATGTGTGCTGATTAAGTATATCATCATGAAAAATATCGTTCTCCATACCCAGCTAGTCTTTCTGACACGCATGAAATAAACCAACAACAGAATAGACACATTCAGGATGGAAGAGATTTATTAGTCCAAGCCTGCCAGTGCAGGATTTCCTTTATCATCTGGTTACTGCATTTTTAAAAAAACATCTCCTGAAATGAGGCTTCCATTATTTCTCCGAGGAGACTTCCAGATTATTACAGAACTAAAGACATTTTTTCTAACATTTATCCTACATTTTCCCATTTATTTTGATACTATTACCCCAACCAACCAACCTTAACATTGTGAGATCTATTTCCTCTCTGTAGCATTCAAAACAAAACCGAGCCTGGCTTCTCCACATACAAATCACTCACTGGGCAGGTGATGTGAATGCTCCTTTTCTTTTGTTGATCTTTGGGCTGTTCCAAACACTATGCCACTGCATATCTCCTGCTGTACTTGCAACTTAAGTAGCGCATGCAAGCCTCATTGCCCTTTTCATAAAAATCACATCGTTTACTTTGAATATGTACAGAGACAGTCAAAAAGGATAAGTAGAAGTATGGAGCCATTAGCCTGTCCTCCAAATACGAAGGCACTAGTAGAGGGGGAGAGTTGGGAAACCAGGTATTAGAGATGAAATATTAGACATGAAAGAGGATAGGAAAGTGTTAATAGAGAAGCTGAAAAGGGAGCAGCTATTTTCTCACTATACAAGGAAAAACTTAACCAACTGACTTAAAACTGAAGGCTTAAACACAGAAAGAAGATATGGTTTTCACACAAGACAAGTTATGGCATTCATTACCATAAAAACTTACAGAGACTAAAAATATAAATGAGTCAAAAAATAGACAAATTAACAGGTGACAGGTCACTGATTCCTATTATACATAGTTCTTCTTACAAGATGTATCTTAAGTCTTAGGAAGTCAACAGTTGGTTGGCAGAGGCTGAAAGGTATACCCAGTAAAGCAGTGCTTTATACAGTTTCTTCTACTTTTCCTTAAGAATCTGTCATTAGCCACTGTCAGAGAAAGAATACGAAGGCAGAAACCTCTGATCTGATCTACTATGGCTGTTTCATGGGGAACAAATGGAAAAGATGAGTAATCCTTGTTGACTGGGGAATAGCATGGAGACTATCAGAAAGCATTAGGTTCAGTGCGTAGTTCCAGCCAGTTGTTTTTTTCTAATTAAAACAAATTAAAACACAGTAATTCTAAGAAAGGAGATGCTATAAAGATGTAGTTTGGCCAAAATAGCATGAAGACAAGCATGAAATATTACAATAAGATTAAATAGACAGGACCACTATGATGCAAGTGCTAACAAAGATGTAATAGCAAACAGTCTACAGCAGATGACATATAACATATTTAGTTAACTAACACATGTATTAGCTAAGGGGGAAAAAAAAGTATGAAAGAGTGGCTTTTCCAACATGCTCCTCGACACATCTTACCTTACCTTATACAAACCTAGTCCCTCCAAAATACTGAACAGATGCAAAAGTCTTTGCCAGAGGAGGCATTAAATCTTAAGCTGTTAACCTAAAGTATACCACGAAAACCAGAATTCCTCAAGGCAAGGTATGCAACTCGCTTTTGAGAAATCATTTCTACACACACACACACACACACTAATGAGAACAGGGATGGTCACAGCAAAATTGGTCCTGATTCTTTAACTGACACGTACATACATACGTGTAAAATGCTTATTAGTTGATAGGACCCAGAACAGAACAATAATCTTTCCAAGAACCACCAATATGCTGAGTAAAGCCAACAGTCCAACCTTGGCTTTTCAGAGCTTAGATACAAATATGTTATAAAAACGTGTATGTTGTTATATGTACATGTACACCAATAACAAAAAAAGGCTTGAGCCTTATGTCATCTTTTCCTGGTTATGCAGAGAAAGGGAAGCAGTTGTGGAAAATGGTACAACTTGTGTTAATTGAAGGCATGACTATGCCTTAATATTTTTCTAAGTACCAAGAAAAGCTGTTCTGAATGAAACTTAAATAGGCTGATATATACCATTAGGGTCCCTCATTTTAATCATTAGTGATGATAATCTGCTAATGCAAAATGACATTGTTTCCAAAAACAGTATTACAGAAACAAACAAAATCAGAAACAGTTTGAATGTAGAATCAAGTAGTGACAGACACTAAGTTGCTGAATGCTTCCAACTACTGTGAAGAGAAGAATTTCTATTACTTATTACTCTTTCAAACTTCATCTGAAACATTTTTTTTCCTAAATTATTAATTCATTCCAGCCCATGCTTGTAACACCATTTTCGATCTTCTTTACACTCTACAATTCTGTTCTTACTGCCCTTTTATTGACAAAAAAAAAAAACCACACAAAAAAACCCTTAAACCCCAACACCCTAAAAGAAGGAGCAAGAGAAGGAGAGAAGAAAAAGAAAAGGAAAGGTGCTGGAGCAGCCTTGAGCGTGAGGTCAAAACTGAACTTTTTTCCCGAGCTTTCCAAGTCTTGCTGAGTTACCGATGCCGACAAATGGGAGGTTTTGAATTACTGACTGCTTTTAGAGTGCCACTTCAATCACACCACACTGAAAATATTTGATAAATATGACTTCCAATAAAAGTTAGTAAAACATTATCTATTAAATCAGAATAAACCAGAAGGACCTGTCGCTATTGTTAATGGTTTCAGCATATATCACTCCCTTGATCAACAGCTGGTGAGGAAGTAAAAAAAGGGTTGAAGGAAAAAAAGAAAAAGAAAAAGATAGTAGTCCTATGGTCTGACTTTATGCCTTCCAAATCATGTATGATATACTCACACATGGATGTGAGCTCACTCCTAATCTCTGCAGAACTCATTAGGAGCTGCCTTGCCTACCCCAAGCAGCTGAGAACCTGTTTTTAAAGTAAAATAAAATAAATTGTTTTATTATTTAGCTCAACTTTTGCTCAATTGTAGTCTGACACTTTCTGAAGTGATTGTCTTTTTGTGCTTATGTGTAACTGAAATTCTAAACCAACACCTTCCAACCATTTATACAAGTACACAGGCTATAGAGTAAGCAAGGTTATATACAGTGGTTAAAAGAGTATCACTAACATTCTAGCATTTTTAAGTGAAGCTATAGGAGACCCTAGATAAAGCATTTCTGAATAATAAAATATCCTCTCCTGGATTCAGCTCTCAACAGAAGAGTTTAACTTGTTTTCCTTAATATCGGTATCTAACTGCAGAAAAGCATACTCAAAAGTCTCAGCTTCCCAGTTTATTCATTTTGAGGGCAAAACCAATTTAAAATCTACTTAAAAGCAAAACGAAACAAAACACACTCTTACCCCTTTCCTCCCACACCTCCATGGCATTTTCTGAGAAAAAGTCACCTTGATTAGAGTAAGAGTTTTCACAATGACCTGGCTATAGTTTGGTGGGCTCTGGTTTGGTGGGCTCCTAGTAGCTCCCCAGGACTTGCCTGTTTGACATAAAGATTGCTGTAGGACCAATGAAAAAGGAATAGGCGCGCTCTCAACCGAGTTCAGGATACTTTAAATTTCTGTTCTTATGGATATATGCATACGCACATGTACACAAACACACATATGTACACCTCACAGTAAATATCTCAGCTACTATTCCTTTCACCCATGGTATTTCTAGATATTACTGTTTAACTTTTACTTAATTATTTAACAGAAGACCCTTTGCCACAGCCAGCACCCTTTAAGGCACTCTGTGAAAAGAGGTTTAAGATTCAATTAGCAAAAAACTTCAAAACGTACTTTTGTAAAAAGCAAAATGTAGACCACCATCATTTTGCTTGATATTAAAATCACGTAAATATAATATGCATTTCTCTAACGTTTAAAAGACCATTTCTGGAAAACCTCAAAATCCCTGGTGTAGTCTTGTTCTTGGGAGCATTCACATAACCACAGTTTGCAGAAACCAAAAGTTTAGAGAAAATTATTTTGAGTTAAATACATGAGTATTCATGAAAAGGCAATTTTGAAGTTCAAATATTAATTTTTCAAATGTATCTGCATTTAGGAACTATGCTACCTGAAGCAATGCTACCTGTTTTTTTCTGACCAATCCCAATTAATCAACACAGCTCAGTAGCAAATATTATACATCAAGCCACAAAGTTTAAAAAAAAAAAAACACACCACAAAAAAATCGAGTATTTTGACACAAACAATGCATTTGAGAAAACTATAATCTACTGAAAGGAAGTCCAAGAGCGGTAAGAGAGACTAGATATGCTATGTACTGTATTAACTAAAAATCAATTGTTGACCCATATTAAATATTTTTAGCCAATTACATTATTTACACAGATGAAATCAACCCCATTTTCATGGTGATTTTATGAACTAATTTATTTCTCTCAATAATTTGGAGAAAATTAACACAACCCAATACACAGAGTCGGGACATAAAGTGAAGCCCCTGTTAATAACTGAACTATGAACATGGAGCACATTGTTACCTTGGCACGCAAAGCCTCTTTCTTCATAGCCAGCATTACACAAGCACTTCCCTATGGGCACTAGCCATTCTCCTTCTGTACTGCAATACATCTTGGGTGGCTCCTCCTCCTTGGAATGATTGACACAAGAACCCCGCACCTCCACCAGTGACTGGGAGTCCATGGGTACTGTATCTGGAAACATGGCGAGGTTCTTGACAGTGAAAGGGCACTTTTTGAAGTACACTCGCACCGAGACTAAGGCAACACATGCACCTACATCTTGAAAAGCCAAGTAATCTGCTGACAGGCCCCACCTCGCGGACTTCCGTATTCAGCTTGAGAATTCGGTCGCCAAGATCCATTTGGGTGAAGCTCTCATCTGCCGCAATGGTGTCAATCTTTGTAAACTGATGCTCTCTGAACTTTACCAAATGGTCATCATCGGACTCCATATAATACAGATTGAAGGTCTCTTTGCAAGTGCCCAGAACTAGAGGGATACTATTACAGTCCCTCAAGGTAAACTTGAGCTCCACATATATCTTCTGAGCTGAATTGCGTGGAATCCAGTTTGTTCGCAGCCAATTGTTTTGACTATGATCCATGACATTGCACACTTGGTAAGTTCTGATTGGAGTATAATGCTCATCAACACCACTAATCTCTTCCCACTGGGAAAAAAAAAAGAAAAAAAAAGAAATAAAGAAAAAAGGAAATATTTTAAGATTAATGATTACACCAATAAAAATCACATTTAGAGACAAAAGCTGTGAAAAAGCAAAAATCACTTTGCTTGGGCATCACTATAATATAGACAAGAGAGTCTGGTTGAACTTGCACTTACTTTTTTCCTATTAAAACACATAAACAACTTAAATGAACACAGAATTCACCATTAAGAGGTCAGTTTTTACCAAGTTATTTCAAGGTGGCATAAAAGACGCTACAGCTGTTTTGCATCATTAAAAACCTGTGTTTTCCTAAACTATATGCAGCACTGTCCTTTTTATCATGATCCCAACATGTCTTTACTACAACCACACTCACCTCAAACAGAAGAGGTTCACTAGGACAATGTCACATTTTCACTGTTAGAATCAAGTTGTATTTCAAAGTTTAAACAAGATTTAAAATCTTACCAAACAAAAGCCAATGGCTCCCACTGAAATTCCATACAGTCACAATAGAATGTTACAGTTTTAAATTTATTCAAAGCATGACAATTGATTTTGCTTGGGATATATGTCCTCTGGACAAACAGTCAAGCTTAGCCCAGTTTCCAGAGTTATTAAAAATTACCGCCAACTTACCGTAAGTATCTTGGTTACTTAATTCTTCTGTGGACTATATAGACTATGACACTAAGTTTCTGAAGAATACATAGTCATCATTTGTTTCTACATCAGTCATCAGCTGACAGACTTACTTGACCGAGACAGGGAAGCAATAGGTTTCCTATTTGTGAATTGCTCATGTACCAGTGCTACCTGATTTCTGAAGTCACGCTTACTGGAGAGGAATATTTACCAATCACAGGAAAAAAGAAATCCTACAGGGGTACTTAAAGTAAATATTTACTGTTAGTCATTTACCATACAAAACTAAGTGCCTTAAGATGCATCTTTCTTCGCTTTCTCCCTGAATGGATGACTACAACCAATTTTTTTTTGTGGTTTTTTTTAAGGTCATCATTGTTCAGCTTTTATCCACACAAAAACTGCAGTTGTTCTATATTCTGAGTCTTAAAATGCAAAATGAAGAGCCTTACCACTAAAGTGCAGGAATTAAAACTCTTATTACAATGAACAATACCTGCTACAGAATCATAACGCCACTGAAGTTGAAAGAAACCCTTCCAGGTCTTCTAGCCCAACCCTCTGCTCATGCAGGGTCAGCCAGAGCAGGTTGCTCAGGATCCTGTCCAGCCAGGCTTTTGAATATCTCCAAGGATGGAGACACCACAGCCTCTCTGGGCAGCCTGTGCCAGTGTTTGATTGTACTCAGAGTAAAAAGGTTGGTCCTTATGTTTAAATGGAACTTCCTGTATTTCCATTTGTTCCATTGCATCCTGGCCTTTCACTGGGCACCAGAGAGGAGAGTCTGGCTCCATACTCTCTATACCCTCCCACCAGGCATTTACACACACTGGTAAGATCCCCCTGAGCCTTATCATCTTCTGTTCTATGCTTCAAACTTAATTACACAAACAAAAGAGGTAAACTCCTGTCGTGATAACGAAGCGCATACTAACGGAGCACACGGTAGAACAGCAGCTACATAAATCCTTGCTTCGCTGTCACCCACATAACCCAGCCTTTGCAGAACACACAAATGCTGCCCCATGCAAGCAGATGCAGTGCAGCTGGGGAGCAGTAGAGCTTCAAAGAGAGCTGCTGTACGGTACAAAAACTGGAGATGTGAAGTGATGGAATTAAGTATGTTGTGAGAAATCACTGCCACTCTTGGAAGACGACGACAAAGAAGAACTTCTACCAGGAAAAAATCTTCCCTCAAAAATCAAGTCATATCAATGCTACCTTTAAGATCTCAGTCTAACAATTATTCATTTTACATAAGCACCTTTTGCTGAAGGATCTTAGTGAACTGCAGAGCAAACATTAGGAGAGGAAAGTAGTATTCCCACTATACCGACAAAGAAACTGACGTGCAGCAGTGTTAACCATCTTTGCAGTTTCCTGGTTTTACAAGACACACATCACACACACACACACACAAAGAAAGAAATAAAGGAAAAAAAAAAGTGGCCACATCAGAGTAACATTTGAGAGTTCTCAGTCCCAACCCACTGATTTAAGAAAGTTTTGCTATGACTAAGAGCTGCTCTGCACAATGAAATTGTCCACCCACACTGAAGATGTGATTTTAAATCATGTTATTAAACCAGTAGATAAAACCAGTATAAATACTCTTCCTTTAATTGAAACAAAGTTTATTTTAGTTCACTTTACAGATGTGACTATACACAAGTTTTATCTCTTCCTGACTAGTTAGTTCAACAGAGTTACAAACACAGTCTTGAAACTGCTGCTACAGCAGTTGAAATGCTGTAGCAAGCTGTAATAGGCCACACTGCCAAAGAAAGGAGGCAGTACAGGGGCTTTCTGAGTCACAGTTACTACACTAGAGCTCATGGCCACTTGAGAGCTGGGCACCACGTGGCAGCCCGTCACCCAAGGATGAGCCCTTGCCTGCGTAAGAAGCAGCTGGACCCTGCCTCCCAGCCTCTGCCAAGTTCCCAAAACGGAGTGGAGGACCCTCCTCTGACAGATGTCCTTGTACAAGTAGAGCCCCTGAGCCAATAAGATAATCCTGCTGCAAAAAGCCATTCAGACGCCATAGTTGCCTCCCACGAAGCTGGATGTACCTATTTAACTACAGGTCTTACCTGGACAAATAAAAATTCAGTTACAACAACTGGATGCAACTAGATAAGATTATATCATGAAACATAATTTTATGGACATTTAAAGCAGCTCACGCTGATTCATAAATGATCTACTTATTATCTCTTCCATATAATTTCTAATCAGTTCAACATATTTTACATGTCCAGTGGGAGATAGAAACAAAACCAGGAACTTGCAGAATTTAAAACATCTCCACAGCAGATGTTATTTTTCTGGACAAGTCCCACTGCAAATTTTTTTTTTCAGAAGTTTCTTATCCAACATGCTTACACAGACGGTTGAATGTAGATGTATGAATTGCACAACGGAAGTAGCACCCACTACTGTCTTCTTAACCTAGAAGTTGCAACGTGCAGTTATCTCTTCATTAATTTGTAATGAAGACCAAATTGCTTGGAAACAATTGTAGATTGCCACGTCAGTCTACTTACATAAACAACAAAATTTCAAATCGACCATTTAACGCTGAAGCATTGCTGAATGGAAGCACCAATCTCACACTGGGTGCTAACCTGACCAAAATACTTCAACTGTTACAAAACTATGGAGTTGCAGCTATCGCTTTAGAAAGAGTTAAGGTGAAATAAAACACTGAAACTACAGGAAGAGTGTCCTAATCAGAATATGTGCATAGATTCAAGTAGATTTGTGACATCAATAATTATTATGATCTAAATAAAAAGCAAGCAGTACATTTGCATTGCTCATACATTGCAACTTTTCCCAGTAAACTATCGTACTGCCATCCCCGAGAGATCTTTATTCTAAACAGATTACCAAGAATATCAAGAAAATTTCCTTTCCATGACCCATGATTTTTTTCTATTAAGTGAGGTTTCTCAAAGACCTATATTTATATTTGTTTTAATTTTTATTTCTGTACTTGTAATTCATGTGTTCAACTTGGCTCTGTAAAGTAACAAAGGGGGGGGGGGGGGGGGGGGGGAGAGAGAGAGAGAGAGAGATTTATTTTCTTATTCCAGGGATGGAATCGAGGAGAGAAAAACATAAAACAAAATGCATGTTGCTTAATAGAATACGGAATGTTTTCTTATTTAATCACTATTGTCAATTGCTCTTGATTTCAGGGGCTTAAATGAAGGCAAGCAGTCTTTCCCTGTAAATCCTTAGATACTACACTCATGGTGCATCCTACAACATAGGTCTTTTGAGGCATCATTTATAAAGGACTTCTCAGCCCAAACCTGTTCTGAACACACATAAATCCAGAAGTTCCATATTGTTTCACTGCTGCAAAATGCTAAGCTCATGCCTACTTCAGATCAAGGGGAGACTACGCATGTCACCTTTAATGCAAAGTCGTGCTGGTTTAGCATCTCTTACTCCTTCCCCAATATTGCTCTTGTAGAGCCGCCTCCCCCTTATGCTGCCCTTGAGCTCTGCTGCTTTTAGAACAAAGTATCAGACAGTACCCAAACAAGACCGTGTCTTTCACAGCATTTCTTTTCAGCACTAAAAATCTATTACCATTACATAGAGGATAAAAATCAATAAGCAAACAAACCTTTAGTAGCTGAGAATGTATACTTTAGTTTTATAGAGAGGTATTGTCACTAAAACGTGCTGGCTGTTAAGAGGCTAAGTGGCAACAGGAAGCAAACCTCCTGTGCTGCATTGCCACATAGCTTATCCAGTATTACAGTATTCACTGCAATTTTACTTTGTACAGGCATCATTCTGACCTATATTCCCTAACAGCTAGCTGAAATAACAGAACTACTAGATAGGAGTTAAAAAGTAAAGGAAGAATTAGAAAGAAAAAGTAACTAAGGTATTTTAAACACATAAGGAAAAATCTGATTTGCGGGGGGGGGAGCAGGAAATCAGCTAAAAGAAAAGTCCAGAGTTGCTATTTAGTAATTAAAGTGAGTCTTTGTATTTTAGGGCACAGGAATAAAAGAACAGCATTCCGAATATGCAGGAATCTGGACAGCTGGGGCTAGAACAGGTCACAAGGCAGAGAGCTATAATAAATAATAGGAGACTGAAAGGTCATGAAGAGGAATTCAGCCAAAATGGAGGTGAGGCAACAAAATGCAAAGAGAATAATGCAACAGAGATATGAGACGCACTGAAAGAAAACTTCAGATGTAAGGCAGATATTTACTCCGTATAGGGCAACCAAATGGCAGAAAGGGACATGCTTCTTTTCACCTTATGCACTGAGGCCAATCTGCTGCAGTCTCAGCTTCCCCTCCTCCCACCTTCAGCTTCCCAGAACT